GGGGCCCATTTTCTACGGTAAATGGGCTTGAACCAATTGATCAACGGCAACAAATATAGATTCATGGGCGTGGGATTTCTTTCTGGGCCAGACCCAAATTTTGATGATGCAAGCTGTATCTCTATGAATCCAACGACGTCGTTCTAGCCAAATTCAGCCCCACGCCTACGCTGCGTGTGGGCCAGCACGAATCAGTTTCCAGGAAATCCGCGACACGAGGAGACCAAGGCGTTCCACGTGGCTACAAATCATTGGCTAAAACAACATTAGGCTTACGCTCATTGGCTAGTCTTCCGCAGGAACACGTTGCAAAAAAGTAAGTCACCGGTCAAGTCGTTGGAAAACCTCTGTTATCTACACTTCGGTTCTTTTCCCCCGTCCCCCAGTTTACAGGCGGAAAACTGAAAAAACGATTCGAAGAAGAAGAAGAAGAAGCTACGCAATCTCACAGTTTCCATTGAGGAAGAAGAAGACTAATCTCTCTCAAATTTCGGAGTAATCATAGAACGAGATCCGATACGAATTCCTGAAATATTCCGAGCTCCGGAGAGATATTCCTCTCCTCTCCCGATCTTCAATCCATGGCGCTTCGAGGAACGAAGCTACTGTTTCTGTTCTGTGCCCTGTCTTACGCTCTCGTCGCCATTGCAGCGTACGCATTTGTCTCCATCTTTTTTTCTCTGAAACCGGTTTTGTTTTGTTTTGTTTGTGTTTGTGTTCTTGTGTTTTGATTTGTTTACAATTTGATTGATGCAGGAAGAGTTATTACGATATATTACAAGTGCCGAAAGGAGCATCGGATGATCAGATCAAGAGAGCGTACCGGAAGCTAGCTTTGAAGTATCATCCTGACAAGAATCAGGGAAATGAAGAGGCGAATAAGAAATTTGCTGAGATTAACAATGGTAATTTACGTTCTTTGGTTAGTCCGTGTGTTAATTTCAGATTTTGATGAGATAACATTTGTGCTTTTGTTTGTTGAATGATTCATTGATTTTCGTTCTGTTGGTTGATGATTAGCTTATGAGGTTTTGTCGGATGGTGAAAAGAGAGGTATATACGATAGGTATGGGGAGGACGGGCTGAAGCAGCATGCAGCTAGTGGAGGAAGAGGAGGGGGAATGGGGGTCAACCTACAGGATATTTTTAGCAGGTAAGGTTTGCACTTTGCACTTTTCCTTTTTATAATTGAATATTGTTGAATTAAGTTAATGGCAATGATATGATTGATATTCTATTATTAGATTGATAATGTGTAAGTTATTCAACTGCTGAAGTACATACTGCATTAATGGAGGACTGGAGATTGAAATTCATAAAGAATAGTAGATAAATCGAAGGAGAAAGTTATGTTCCTCTAACATTTATCACAAACTCTAAAATCTTCAGGAAAAAGAAGAAACACCTTACTTTTGTTAGAATGTGCAAATGAGCTAGTAAAAGTCATTCTGCTTCATGTTTTTAGTCTCTGAATCTCTGGGCTGGAGAACATGTTACTTTTAGCTTGGCAAGTTTCCACCTTTTCCCTTTATGTTGTTTTTCCTAGTTATAAATCTAAGATGGCATGGGATGAGCTTAAACCTACTCTCCACAGGCAGCCATTATGTAAAATGTAATGGTTATGCTGAAGTTTGGGACATTACCTGTAGTATAGTATTTCTTGTTTACAGTACTAAGTACTAACTACCATTAACTTACAGAAAATCAAGTGTAAGACTAGTCATTGCCTCATATTAGTTGTTATTTTGTTTTCTTAAGGTGATTTAATAATGACCTACTATTACTAAAGAAATGGAGGGTTGTTTTTTTCCTAGTTTTTTTGGTGGAGGAGGCTCAATGGAAGAGGAAGAGAAAATCGTTAAAGGCGATGATGTGATTGTTGACTTGGATGCAACTCTTGAAGATTTGTACATGGGAGGTTCATTGAAGGTGGAAATCATCTCTTGATGGGATTTGTTAACCTTATTTCTTGCTATCTTATTCCAACATCTTTAAGTGCTGCTCTTTGGTTATGTAGACTAGTTTAATAACAGTCTGCCCATATGCACTTTATCCAATCGTCTAAGCTTGGGAAGCAGGTTTGTGATCGAAGTGTTTTCGGACATATATTGCTATTAGCCTTTCCATTTTGTGAACTATGTGAACTAATAACTTCATCAAAGCAGTAGTTTAATCTCTTAATTGTTTTCTTTTTGTTGGCTAGAATCTAGCAGATAAACATATTGTATAATGAAATGATGATGGGTATGATGTTATGGTTTAATTGATGCTTGTGCATCCTATGATTCCTCTTCCATCTGTTACTTAATGTCAGAGATAGTAAGAACTAATTCGTTATTAGCTAGGTTCCTGGTTTTCTTCTAAGCTAACCTTCAATCTGGAACTTTTCAGATTTGGAGGGAGAAAAACATTTTAAAGCCAGCTCCAGGGAAAAGACGCTGCAACTGTAGAAATGAGGTCTATCACAGGCAAGTTGGTCCAGGGATGTTTCAACAAATGACAGAAGAGGTATTGCAACTCATTGATTTATTTTTGAAGTGCTGCAATGTAGTGTTTCAATCTTGTTTCTTGGGCTGTTACTCTGTTTGGATGATAACATCTGTGATTTTGCAATGATCTAGTTTCATTAGATTCTCAATGTTTCCTTTTCAGGTTTGTGAGCAGTGCCAAAATGTGAAATATGAGCGCGAGGGATATGAAATCACAGTTGATATTGAGAAAGGAATGCAAGATGGGGAAGTAAGTCTTATGCAATGGGAAGTGAGCTAACTTGTCTTAGATTTGCCTCTTTATTAATTGCGGTTTATGGTTCCTTCCTGCATTGTCCATTTTGCAGGAGGTTGTTTTTTATGATGATGGTGAGCCTAAAATTGATGGAGAACCTGGAGATTTAAAGGTTAGCTAGCCCTATGTGCTGTTTTAGAATTATGTACTATTCTTTCTTTATATGATCTAATGGCTTCACAAAGTGCTGGGGGTACGGGATGGTCTCACTGTCCCTGAAGACCCACCTTTTTTCATTTTCCTTTTTTAATATAAATTCTTGTAAAAGAGAAAAATGCTACTGCTACTCTTTGAATCCAAATGATCTCAAAGTCAACCATCTGATCTGAAGCCCCATTCCAGATGGTCTATTTGAGAACATAATTCAATATTCCATTTTTAGTTAGGGCAACTGTCATTATTGGCAGTTCTTCGGTTCTTATTTTTAACAATGATTTAACAATGATTATCGCCTTTTCTGTAGTTCCGCATTCGCACAGCCCCTCACAATCGCTTCAGGAGGGAAGTCAATGACTTGCACACCACTGTCACTATAACTCTGGTAGGTCTTCTTCCCTGGAGCATCCCAGTCCAGCTTTCCTCTTTATCTTCTGATCCAATTTAGATCATAACCGAAACAATTTCCTCTGCTTTCTACAGGTTGAAGCTCTTGTTGGTTTTGAGAGGACCATTACACATCTTGATGACCATTTAGTGGATATCAGCTCAAAGGTAAGAATGAGGAATTCTAAGGATCTTTTTTAAAACTGTCTTGATCTGAATTAGCAAGTTTCATGAAATGATTCCATAATGTCCCCAGGGTATAACAAAGCCCAAAGAAGTGAGAAAGTTCAAAGGAGAAGGAATGCCATTGCATTTTAGCAAGAAGAAAGGGGACCTCTATGTCACCTTTGAGGTTCAATTTCCCAAATCACTGACAGAGGACCAGAAGGCAAAAATCAAAGAAATTCTTGGCTAAGATGTAGAACATGTTCTTTTTTTCTCTGGGTTTATAAAATGTACCCAACTGTAACATGAGTAGAATATTAAATATATAGGGAATAGTAATTCTTGAGGGTTTCATTTTCTCTCCTTCCTTAACGCGCCCTCTTTCTTCGTTAACAAGTGATAGACAGTGCAACAACGTCCTCAGCCATCTTATTGAATGTACTGCAATTTTGTAGGGGGCCCTTTTAGCAAAAACTTTCTGTCTCATATGGTATCATCCCTATTATCTTTATGACTTATCGCTTGTTTCTTGTTGACTCTACAAAAATAGAATATCAGTGAGAAGAATTGCCAGCACGGTTAACCTCTGGTTGGCTGCTTAGCTTTTTGCACGCATAAATGTTCCTTTGCCTTCGTCTTGCCAGTTGCCTGGAGTACAAACTAAAAATCATATTTGCTACTGTACAGCTGGAGATTTAAAATTTGAAACAATTCACGACCGTTCGACAGATTAATTCCAAATCGTAATTGGAATAGAACTCGTTAAAATAATGCCGTTCTTCTTTCTCCTTTGCCACTTTCTAGATTTTACCCACCGTGGGGTTTCTTAAACAATTAATGCATTTTTTTTCATTAATTGCTAGTCAAAAAATACAGAAGTTGGTAATAATTTAATCATTAATGTTATCTAAATTATTGTTAAAAAAATTACTTATAATAATTTAATCATTTATGTTACATAAAAAAAATTCACATTTAAATAATATAAAATTAGGAAGTGGTGATGAGTTTTCTCTTAATTTATTTTATTTTTTTATATTTTAATTTAACCAAATAAGAAAAAGAAAAAGTTTTCTTCCATTTCTTTTCTTTCTCCTCCATTTCTAACAAACCAAACTACTAAGGGTTAGCCAATTTCGGTGCAACCTGCAAGGAAAGAATTATGCCGACTTCAGATCAGACATTTCGGCGTAAGCCGTAACCAAAAAGAAAGAGATGGGCCAACAGGTTTCAAGTTCAACTTACAACCTGTACGTGTTAAAGAGCCACCGGGCCCCATTGTTTTCCCAACTGCTAACGGCCTACAGAGTACAGAACTTCAACTTCCTGCATTATTAAACCATTCACTAATTGCCACACCTAACACATTTAAAAAAATTTTATGTTAAATTTTAAAATTAAAAAAATATTTTATATATTTATTTGTTCTCTTTAAAAAATAAATTAAAATTAATTATTTGAATATTTTAGATTTTTCAAAAAAAAAAAAGTCGTAAGGCTTGTCACTAAACTTAAAATTTTTTAGATAATTAACTCACTTAATTAGTTGCTCTCCTTCTTCCATTAGAATTATTGCTGTCCTTCTTTTGTTCGAATTATACTTCAATTAGTATTAGGTTTTTTGAACTTATATAAGCTTAGTAGACAATAATACAAACTCTTCAATTCTTTTTTTGAGCAAGGGTCTCTTTTCAATTGAATTTTTAACATTTCTTTGGTGGATTGCAAGGTAATGCTCTAATATATCTTTAAAAATCAATAAATTTATTATTTTATTCTATTATATTTTTTTGATAATTTATCATATTCTAATTTGTAACTATTATTTTATGGTAAGAATTATTGTTTAATTGTTAAATTATTTTTGAGTTGTTAACTTAGGTTTCATTTATTAATATCATATCATGTCATACTGTAATTATAATTTTTTAGCCTTATATTTTCTTACAAATATAAAATATTAATTAAAAATAATAAAAAACCTAAAATTAAAATTAATTAAAAATTAAATTTATATTTTTAAATAAAATATTATTGCATTGCTTTGACTGGAAGTGCATGGTGCATAATAAAAAAGGTAGAAGTTTATTTTTTATCAGTATCCTTGCTCGCAAATTATGGCTATGCCACAACTCTTAACCTTGTATTGGTGTTTTTTTTTATTTTTTTTATTTTGATTGCACAATAAAAAATAATCATTTTTTATTTCTTATTTTATCCTACTCGTATATCATATAACTCGAATTTAAAACTTTTTATTTCTAATAAAAAGAGATAACTACTAAGTAATTTAAATTGTTAAGATCCTTATATTGGTTAAACAATCTCATTTTATTTTTAATAAAAAGAGATAATTACTAAATAACTTAAATTATTGACATCCTTATATTGATTAAACAATCCCATTAAACCAACCTTCTCAATAAACCTGTTTTTCTAGTGTAAATAAAGTTTTTCAAAAATTGCCAAAAAAAAAAAAAAGCGCAAAAGGAAACGTTTACATTGGATGTGTCGTGCAAGAGACTTTACACGGCATTAGGAGCATACAGCCAAGGCAGAGGAACGTGTCATCGTAGGATAAACAACGGTAGAAGGAAGTTGGGAAAGAGATCTTTTGGAAACACGACACTTGGTTTAGGCCTTTTCCTGTGCATGATCATCATCTACTGTACAATCTAACGTGGCATTCAGACACCGACGTAACTCCTCCCTGGCTCCACGTTCCGCACCGGGAAAAGTAAACAAACGTCGTCTTAAATAAAACCCCAGAAAATCCCAACAGACTTTTCAAAACGGCGTGGTTTTACTATTACTGCTTTGCTTGTCCCTTTTTTTTTTACCCCCTAAGGCCTAAATATTCCCCCTCCTTGAAAAAAAGAGAGAAGTTTAAAGGGAAGAATAATACGTACGAATATTTTTACGTTTTTTTAAAATAATTATTATTTTTATATTAAAAATATAGAAATAATTTATATATTTATATGGATTTTTTAAAAAATAAAAAGAAATTTTCTATGATAATATAATAATTAAAATGAATAAATAATAAAATAAAAATAAAAAATATTTATTTACTTAAAAATAAAAAATAATTAATTTAAAATAAATTAAAAATAAAAAATTAGTTAATCTAAAAGGAAAAAGAATAATAAAAATCAATTTATATATATATAGAATAATAATAATCTATAAAAATTAATTATAGTGTTAAAAAATTACTCTTTTTTTAAAATAATTGTTTTTTTAATTTTAAATTTATTTAAAATTATTTTAAAATTTTTTATTTTTAAAATAAAAATATTTTTATTTTAATTTATCATAATTTTTTAAATTATTTTATCATAATAAATTTTATTTTATTTTTTAATTTTTTTAAAAATAATATAAACTTATAAATTATTTTAGAAAAAGAGAATATATATTGCATTCCTAAGCGTCAATGATGCATGTTAGAATCAACTTTATTTATTCTGGAGTAAAAAATTCGTTTTGATTTTTGAGTTCTTTTAGGGGTAGAAAATTTTGGGAAGAAAATTTGGTTGGGAGTTGGGACTTTGGGAAGGGGGAGGGAGGTTGTTGACCTGTTTGGTTACAGACGTAAGCCCAACCCTTTCTTCTTCCTCTTTAAATTCTCCCTCTCTCTCTCTTTCTTTTTGTTTCTTCATTAAGTAGTTGATCCAGGACCAAGTTAACGAACCAGTAGGAGAAGAAAGAGCAGAAGAAAGATCAGAAGAAATTTAAAGATTGTGACTTGATCTTAATACCTCACCTGCGACGTGGGAGGCTAACTTTTCTCTTTGATTCACTTCATATCAGATATTTATACAAGGAAAACGAAGGAAGCAGAAGATATATATATATATACATACTGCAGGGGAACGGTTGGGATTGGAAGAATGGATGGTTTGCGTTTGAAAACTGTGATTCCTGGGATGGCTCCCAAGATCTCGGTGGGTGGGGCGTTGGAGGTTCGCGCAAGCACGTCGCAGGTAAGCGCGGTGGGGCGTTCTGTGGACAAATCGGCGGTTGCGCCGATGCCCAAGAGGGCGTCGTCGTCTGGGTTCTCGTTTCGATACCCTTTGAGATCTCTGTGGCCAGGGGGAGGAAATGGTGGTGGGGATGAGAAAAGATACAAAGGTATTGCCGTTGAGGACGCCGTTGTGGTGGAGAATAAGGAGGAAAGAAAGAAAGTGGAGGAAAAAGAGAATTTTGATGAAATGGCGTTGCCAGGGAGACAAAATGAGAACTGGGTGTTGAAGATTTTACACGTCAAGTCCTTGTGGGGTGAAAAACAGGGGAGGAGCGATGATGTAGAATCACAGGAGGAAGAGGAAAATGACAATTGCGCCGCTGTAAATGGTCAGAAAGAAGATGATGAGGAAGATCCGTGTGATGTCTGCAGAGTTGATGGTGGTGATGATGATGGAGGGAGGACTGAATTTGATAGAGATTCGTTCTCCAAGATGCTAAGGCGGGTGTCTCTTGCTGAGGCAAAGCTATACGCTCATATGTCATATTTGGGGAACTTGGCTTATTGCATTCCAAAGATTAAGGTAAATGAATCAGGCATCTGATGGTAATTGTGTTTCCTTTTTCCTTCTGGTTTCTTAGGAATTAGGATCCATACAGTTGTAGGTTTTTATTAGATCTTTGATCAAACCATTCAAGCAATCTTCTATTACTGGGGCCAACTGGGGAAATTAAAATTTAAAGTTTGGAGCTTTCATGGCAATCTGGTTGAATTTTTGTTTCCTACTAATTGTTCAATATTTAAGTTTCATGGACTTCTTATTTGTGGAAGTCAGGTGGTATACTGCAAAAATTTTTGTTTTTGAACGAGTTTTCTGTTACTTCAGCTGGAACCAATAAGCAAATCTGGGCTCTTAATCAAATGCTAATCTAAAAGGAAATGTTTATATGGGCACTTAATGGGTACGGTTCAAATTGGTGCATATGGTTGTGTGATGGTTTATTCTTGTAAGAAATTGATGCTTAGGGTTATGAAGGTTTAGTTTAAGGATTGCTGCACATTGAATGTCTGATGGTGTGTTTTTAGTGTAGCAAGGAAGTCTTCTTTACATCTATATTCTTTGTGATTATTGGGTTTTGCTGGAGCTTTTATATATCCATGTCCATGTCTGGTTGTGTGTGCTATAAATTCTCCTCTGGCTTGATGAATTTGTTTGAAGAATTGCATTGATGAATGGCTATTAGCCCCTGATTACATTGATCATGTTCACCTAAATATTATATAAATTCGATTTTCTTGTTTCTTATTGCAACATTAGATGATTGAATTTTTTCCTTCTTTGTTTGGTTTGATTTTGGGGTTAAAAACTCAGCCTGGCAATCTCCTGAAATATCGTGGTCTTCGTTTTGTAACTTCATCCATAAAAAAGAGAGAATTGGCTATGGAAGCAGAGAAAAGTCAGGTCCCAGTTGAAAATCAGGAGGCAGAAAGAACTGTGAAGGATGAAGTAGATGACAAGGAGCCAAAAGGTGTTGGTCATCAGATAAGCGCATCTGCTGCATATGGAATGGCTGCCTCTGCTGCTTCTTATTTACATTCTCATACAAAGAGCATCATTCCATTCAAATCCTCAACAGCCATAGGCAGTAAGGATTCACTTGAAGGTTGCAGTGGAGGTGATAGTGGTGCTGATTCAATGAACACAGATGTGGCTTCTTTGATGGCAACAACTGACTCGGTAACTGCTGTGGTTGCTGCAAAAGAAGAGGTGAAGCAGGCTGTTGCAAATGATTTGAATTCCACATATTCATCACCTTGTGAGTGGTTTATATGTGATGATGATCTGAGTGCCACAAGATACTTTGTGATCCAGGTAGGTAAAACTATTTACTTAACACTTTCACTCCAGCACATTTCTATATGTTACTAAAGGGGAGCATCATTTTCTTTTTCTTTTCTATTAGATTCAGCATTACCGCAGTAATGGACCATGAACTTATATTTTTAACAAGTTTTTTATGCCATTGCTGTAATACCACTGACATGAGACAGCCATTAAGTTTTAACTCTATTTCATTGCTTATTTTTGGTATGTTTAGTGTATTCAGTCTTATTTGTAAGGCGGTGTTTGTATGCAGGGATCAGAGTCATTAGCATCTTGGCAAGCAAATCTGCTTTTTGAACCGATTCAGTTTGAGGTATTTTCTCAATAACTATGTCAAATCACTACTCTTTTAGATGTTTGTACAATTTAGCATTTATTTGCTACATCTGAGATGCTTAAAGAGAAGGCATCATATACTAATTCAATAGCCTTTTATTTTGTTGACTGGATACCAAGAGTTTGACATCTTAATGTCACTAGTTATGTGATAGATGGGCATGTTGGCATGTTTCCTGTTAGTGAAGATTGATTGTTATATAATTTTATTGGTACAGGGACTGGATGTGCTTGTACATAGAGGAATCTATGAGGCTGCCAAAGGTACTTATGAACAAATGTTGCCTGAAGTCCGTGCACACTTGAAATCTCGCAGCAATCATGCAAATTTCCGCTTCACTGGGCATTCTCTTGGAGGAAGCTTGTCAGTTCTTATTAATCTCATGTTGCTGATACGGGGTGAAGTGCCTGCCCGTGCCTTACTTCCTGTTATAACATTTGGATCACCATCTATCATGTGTGGAGGTGATCATCTTCTTCAGAAACTTGGGTTGCCACGAAGTCATGTTCAAGCAATCACCATGCACAGAGACATTGTTCCTCGAGCTTTCTCTTGTAATTATCCTAATCACGTTGCAGAGCTTTTGAAGGCCGTTAATGGAAACTTTCGGAATCATCCCTGTCTCAATAATCAAGTAATACTTTGGCAACTTGATTCCTATATATGTCTTTACATGCAGACTGAGTCTCTGATCTAACTCCTTTATTTCTTGCTACAGAAGCTATTATTTGCTCCAATGGGGGAGTTTCTGATTCTACAACCTGATGAGAAATTCTCTCCTCAGCATCATCTCCTTCCTTCAGGCAGTGGCCTTTATTTTTTAAGCTGTCCACTGTCAGATGCTGGTGATGCAGAGAAGCTACTCCAAGCCGCACAGACTGTATTCTTGAACTCACCACATCCGCTTGAGATCCTAAGTGACCGCTCTGCTTATGGCTCTCAGGGCACAATCCAAAGAGATCATGACATGAGATCCTACTTGAACTGTGTTCGGGGTGTGATCCGTCAAGAGCTAACCCACATTAGGAAGGCCAAGAGGGAGCAGCGGCGCAAGGTATGGTGGTCCGTTATCTTACCACATCACACAAGTCCAGGCATCATTATGGGGAGGTCAGTGGCATTAATCAACAGGAGCCAAGAACAATTCAACTTCTCTGGCATCCTACAGAACGGTAAAGAAAAAATCAGAAGGTTTGGTAGGCTCGTGACATCACAGCACATGCATTTGCTTGTTCTTCTGTTGTTCCCTGCAAGGCTGCTACTCTTGGGGGCATACAGTGTGATCAGTTTTCCACTGAGTCACTAACAATTCATTGGAGGAAAAATCTTGAGACGAAGATCCGTGTCTGCTTCTCTGGCATAGATGGTATAGATTATGATTCTTTATTCATTGATCATTTTAGAGGATGAAAATTGAAAAAAAAAAAAAAAAAGGGGGGGAAAATTTACACTCCCCCTAGATGTTAAGGGATAAAAGAAACATTTTTACAGTTTTGAAATTGATTCATGAATTGCAATACATGTCATGTTTAATTTCCTTCAATCAGGCAAGGTTTTTCTGTTGCTTCTGAATTTGTCAAAGACAGTTTTCTGTCTATCCAGAAAATTGGCTGTCAAGAACTTGCGTAGGTGCAACAACCGTTTTCAAACATGACTTCAGGGGACTTGGTCCATGAATAATATACTCACCCTTGGAGGGTACGTAATTTTCCCAGGAATCAATCACCTTTGCAAGTTCTTTGATTTTGATTAGCAGTGTGATAGTACGAAGTTACAGAAGCGGAATGGGATATGTATATTCTCTCTTTTGTCCGGGAAATGAAATCACGGGATTCAGATTCTTTTTCCGGGGCTGCTGAGCACGTGGAAAATCACATGTAATTACGTGGAGAAAACCGACAAGCCACGGAGAAAAGTTATTTTTAAGTTTTCTTTAAGGACAAAAAATGCATGTCCACAGTCCAAAATGGCTGTGCGCTCTTGAACTTTGATGCTTACCTATCCAACTCATGTGTTTAGTAGGCTAATTGTGAAAAGGTTGATTTTTTTTTTTTTCTTTTTGGATTTTTACTACTTTCTTGTGTTGTGTTGTTTCTGGATTTTTTAGGTTCTTCTAAGAATAGATGAATAGATAGATTTAAGGGAGGGCTAGGACCCCAAAAAAAAAAAGTGGGGGGTGGGGAACTCAAAAGTTGGATTGGTGGACCATTACTAAAAAGTTAGATTTTATGAGCTGCCAAAGTTAGGAATGTGATGTTAAAATCAATTGGAGCTATTCATGGGGCTCTAATCACGGGGCCGAGATTGTGGTTAGGAAAAGATGGAAAATTTGGTAAAGAAACCGAAAACAGCATACTAATGAATTAGGAATTGCCATTGGATGGCAACAAGTAATATATGACATTATCAGCCCTTGGACTTCTTAAAAAATTTCAATTTTATTGTTAGTTTAGTATTTATGGTATTTTTTTTTTCTTTATTTTATGTTTCAAAACAATGATTGATTAGCAATATTTGTTATTACGTAGAAATTGAATTTTCAAACTTGTTTTTAAAATAAATACTTTTTTATTATAATTTTAAATTTGATAAACTTTTATTAATTTTTAATTTGGTTAGAGTAATATGCCGTTAAAAATTTACTCAATTAGAATTTTTAAAAGTTTCAATTAAACAAGCAAACTCTATTCAACTCTCTATCCAAAAGAATAATAATTAAAAAAAGAAAAAAAAACTCAACTCAAACCACTTTGCAATTGCAAATATGATGTCACGATGACAAAAAACTTTTGGATCTATTGAAGGCCCACTAGCCCAAAATATGAAGGGAAACTGGGTGACTAAGAATACCCAAAAATCTTGGGCCATGTTTTATGCAACAGAGGACAGCGTAAAGAAGTTCCATTGTTAATACAAGTCCAATCCATGTAGCAAAAATGAAAACCAAGAAGTCCAATCCAGAAGGCAAATGAATTCAAATTAACTCAATGTATATACACGGTGTGGCGATAGCAACAATGCAAATTGCCCTGGAAAAGACAACATAGAATCCAAATTAAAGGTTAGGTTTACCAGCCAAGTACCAAGAGTGCACGCCAAGGCTTTCCATATGCCATTATATTACCTAGAGAAGATAGCCCGTGGATCATTCCAAATTTCTTATTCATTGCCGCATGCTTTGGATTCACGTTTGCAACTTCCTTCTTCTTTGATCACCCAATTTCATCACCAATGTTATGTTCTTCTCTCCACCTTATGCCTTTGCTTCATCACCTACCGTGAAATGCCAAAAAAAATTAATGCAAGAGTCAACCATATGTATATGCAACAGATATCTAGAACGGAGGAAAAAATCTGTTGTGTCACTGGATATATGCATAGCAATTCGCTAACCAATAGAGGTGGAGTGCCAGGGATTACAAGAAAATTACCTTGAGGGTCTTAGGTGAAAAAACAAACAGATTGACGAGATTAAAAGTAAGGGCCGTTGCTAGAAACCCAAGCTGGTACTTTTCCGTCATAAATGAAGACTTCCATGGATGCAGATAACCAAATGACGATATGGAAATGGCACAACAGATCCCCACCATCGAGAAATACGCCAGGAACATCTTGCTTTGCAAATTTCCATACTGATGCCTTAGTATATTCTTAATTAACAGAGAACCCCAACTTAAAAGAGATAGCCAATTAAGCTTCTAATTAATTATAATCTTTCAGGAAGGGGAGAGAAAAATGAGCGTTACTTGAACGTGATGATACCGGCGATGAATGTGACCCAGAGAGCAGAGAGCCCCAAGCTATGGAGAAGCTAAGGAATAGTGTTATCCACGCCATTGCTAGTTCAGTTCAGCCTGATTTTCCTCACTATTGCCTTTTTAATTCCACAACGTATGAAGTCTGGTGAAGAAGAAAAATGGGGATGTGGGTACTTTCAGCCTTCCCCGTCACTGTCGTTGAATTTTGATTCCAATTCACTTCGGACAAGTTTGGTTTACTTTAATACGGAGTAGGAGTACTCGACTGCCATGTTTCACGGAAGTTGTTGTCCAAACCACATCTTGAGATCCTAAACAAGGCAACCCTCTAAGGCAGCACCTAATTCCTTGATAAGGATAAATTCATTTAAAAAAAAAAAGTAAAAATAAATTATTTTTAAAAATTATTAATTAAGATAAATGATTTTTTATTTAACATGAAATATTATTATATTAAATATTTTTAAGCAAAAATTAACATATAACAACATTACACATTAAATAATAAATAATTTATCTTAATCAATAATCTAAAAAAAGTAATTTATCTCTATATAAGCTATTTCTACTTCTTATTTTTTTAAAAATAAAATAAATAAAAATAAAAATTACTTTCAAAATTTTAATTTAAAAATAAAATAAAAAATATCTATTATTTTAAAACAAAATGAATATATAAAAATAAAATATTATTGTTGGCATTGGCTTGTTGGCGGCTTCTTAAATGAAATTTAAATGAACGTGTGAATTGACATTTAGAATACATATCTATTATAAAAATATGTAATTAATAAAATTTACTATAAATGTATCAATAAAAATTACTATAAATGAATTTCTTTTTCAAGGGCATAATTTTACCTAAAAAAAGTCAAAATAACCTTTTGTATTTATTGTGAGAATTTATTAACTATTACACCGAAAAATAGAAAAGTTCAATGATATATAAGTCATATCTTAATTAAGAGTAACTACTCTTTAAAAAAGTAATATTGAAAATCAAATTACACAAGTTTAACACAACCAATCTCATCACCCTTGCCAAAAGCAATCAATTAAGTGGAAGTTACCTCCTCTCCCCAAATGCCAGGCCAACACAATCAATTAAGTGGCCTGGAATTCCAGCTCTTGTGATGGGCATAAAAATAATCACCTTTTCAACTTCCTTATTCTTTGACCATCCAATTTCATCACCAATGTTCTCTCCTCTCTCTCCACCTTGTGTCTTTGCTTCGTTTTGTGGATTAGGGTTTACATTTTACAATTTAAATTCAGAGTGTAATATACTCCCGTAATTAATGAGCCATTTTCTAAATAACATGGGTATCCACGACTATGGGATATGACCTATGCTCATAGGTCATTTTTAACGTAACACCATTGACATTAAGGACAATAGAAATGATGCATGACAGTTTTAAAATAGGTTCTAATGTCTTCAAAATTTCCCAGCAAGGAGACATTGTAGAATTACAACTTAATAAAATTCTAATAAGGTGGATGTTTTCGTTAGCATGCATCATGCAGGAAGAGCACGGTAGGTCATGTTTGGACACCGGCCGTCCAATAAAATTAAATAAGTTCATCGAAGCTTATTTACATTGCTCTGGAAAAGCTATCATTATCAAATTTGCAGTGTATTTGTGCAAGAAAGAAAGCCAGAAGGACGACGTTATTTACAGGCATATAAAATAATTCATACGAAATCTAGACTTTGTTACTTCAGATCGTTTAGAAAATGATACAAGGAAATAAATTATCCAAAATCTTTGCATCACCTGAGTAAAAGGATGTGACTTTATGAATTTATTTTAGATTTAGAAGTAAACTAGAGAGACAAATCGATTACCATATGATTTATTTTACAAATTTCAGGCCATATGAAAAGTCTTTTGCGAGGGAAGACGTGTGCTCAAGGCAATAGAGAAGCCTTCCCTAAAAACAGAAATATGAATGTCCAATTACAGATTGAGTTTACCTGCTAAGTACCATGAGTGCATTGCAAGACTGCCAAAGGCCATGATATTAGCAAGAGAAGATAAGCCATGGAT